TTTTTTTTTTTGGTGTTTTTTGTATTTTGTACACAAATTTGAGATTTTAAATGTACATGCAAATTCAGAAAAGTGCACAGAAGTCTTTCAGTTTTTGCATTAATCTGTAAATTTGAACTGGAATATGTAAATGTGCTCTGTACCTCGAGATTTTTAATATGCACAAACGTCTGTGTGTGTTTGTGTGCACGTGTGTGTGCATAAAATTTGTGCATCATATACCACAACTCTCCACAGAGGAAATATATTGCGACATGTTACTTCAAAAGCATATATCCTTCCTCCCTCTCCTCTTCCTCTCTGAGGTGTTGCCCCAGCTCGTGTGGGACGCTAAGGGACGCTTTCCTGGTCCTGACTTCTTATGTCGCCTGGTGAAGTACCTTCAGGTTCTTGGAATGTTTGCCTCCTCCTACATCATCGTAGCCATGACAGTGGATCGCCACTATGCTATCTGCTGCCCCCTGCAGGCACATCGCAGCGGGGCCACGAAGCGCTGGAACAGCTTCATCGTGCTGGCCTGGGTACTGTCGCTGCTGCTCAGCCTGCCACAGGTATGCCAAAGAGGCTGGCCACAGATCTGCTCCTGAGATGCATAACTTAGGTTCTGATTAGCGTTAGGCTCTTAAAATTAACATTAAAAAGAGAAGAAAACAAGGTGATAGTCAAAGAAAGGACAGGGGCATCATTCTGGTCTTAAGCTGTTACTTTAAAGGCCTATCATCAAATTCACATATGTTTGCCTTTAACTTTGAAGATAAACAGAGGTAGTGTCCCATTTTGTCACATTTCCAACCAACACTTTTATCACGTTAAAACACGAAGTCGTAAATAAGCACCGTGCCAATTAAAATCTTATAGAAGAGAGCACAAACACAAAATCAGACTGTTTGCTGTTACCATCACCTCCACTCATCTCTTTGCTGGTTTGCAGGTCTTTATCTTTTCCCGTTCTGAGTTGGCTCCAGGTGTGTATGAATGTTGGGGCAACTTTGCCGAGTCCTGGGGCCTCAAAGCCTACGTGACGTGGATGACGCTAGCCATCTTCATCCTCCCCGTTCTGATCATCACCATCTGCCAGGTAGAACAGAGAGAACCAGAAGACAAGATGCTTCTGGAAACAAAAATTTACCCTCTCTTGTCTTTCTTCCTTTAGGTGCGAATCTTCAAGGAGATTCATAACAATCTGTACCTGAAATCAGACTGCCGCCTGTCCCCCGCTGCTCTCCCTCAATTAAGAAAAGAAACCCAGAGAGGAAAAAGAGGAGGAGGAGAAGGAAAGTCTAATGTCCCCTTCTATGTTTCCCCCCTCGTGTACAACAACCCTGGAAATGACAGCAGTTTGGACCCTGTGTCCACCTATCAGCACCTCCCGATGGGTGATCATTCTTGGACTCTACAGTAGCTTTGCATGATTCAATAATGATAATAATGCTTATTTATCCTACACTGAGCCTTAAGATGGACGTATCTATAAGCCTTAAACCTGCAATAGTTTCTAATGGCCAGCAGGGGTCGACTGCTGTAGTTGGTAAAGGACGACAGTGTGTAAAGAAGCTTATGGAGAAACAACCCTCATGCTAACTCATGTTTCCTGATTAGTTTAGGCGCTCAGTCACAGCTCTGCAGTCCTGTTGAAATCAACATGATGTTCATTTGGTAAATTATGGTCCTCATTGGTCTGCAGACAGTTAATTATGTATATGAATTATGGAGTGTTTTACCACATGACTGGTACGTCACCACCTAGGAGTGTGCACTGTTCTTCAGTTTCTCAGTCAGCAGTTATGGTTGACATGTTGGTGCTGCTCAGGTAAACTAAACTTTCCATAAAAACTCTTCACCCATTTCTGATCATGCTTCAGACACTTGACTTATTGCAGTCTTACTCCTAAAGCAATGTGGTGGTAGAAGGTAACTAAGATCTGGAGTATGCTCCTCATCTCATGCCTGAAATTAGCTAATATGTGCTTTTACTACAATCATATATAAAAAATTAATAAATAAAAATGTAACCATATTTATGGTCTTAACTCATGAAATGAGGAAATTCAGGAAATTCAGGGAGAGTGAGCGTCACAGGAATGTTTTTGTCCTCCTCGTCAGCTCAGCTGCAAGCCGGCGTCCCACCAGATCCAACACCGCCCTCTGCTGCCTGCTCACCACACCCCACCAAACTGCCTCCTGTCAGAGGTGGAGAGGTAACAGCAGCCATGTCAAAGACGGTGAGGATGACGCTGGTCATTGTGCTTGTGTACTCGCTCTGCTGGGCCCCGTTCTTCAGCGTCCAGCTCTGGGCCGCCTGGGACCCTGACCCACCTCAGAACGGTACACACACACACACACACACACACACA